TTTTTTGAGGGTCTGGATGGGGTTTAACTAGCTGGGAATTGGACAAAATTTTAACTGGTTAGCTGAGAAATGGAGCTAAAGGGGTTTTCAACTGAGTGTCGTAAAACCAAAACCAAACCAATTAATTTCTAATTTGATTACTCAGCCAATCTCAAACTCTAATAAAACCAACACCAAAACCAAAGTAATTGCCTGATTACTTTCGACACTGAATTGAAAACCACTCTGACACGCTTCCGTTTTGAACTGATAGCTCAACTGCTCGTTCCCAGGGTCTCTCATCTTTCCGCCCTAGCCCTACCCTATTTTAAACTAGTACATATGTTATTTCACAGTGGGAAAGGCTCGAAGATCCCGTCGTATGGATGGACGCCGCAGGACAAATTTTCTACTCTTTAGGGGTAGGGTTCGGAAGTTTAACCCTCTTTTCCAGTGGAAACCCATCCAAGAACAACTGTTATATGGACGCGATCATGGTTGCACTGGGGAACTGCGCAACCTCTCTGTGGGCCAGCATAATCATGTTTTCATTCTTTGGTTTCAAGGCTAATTACAAAGTTAACAAATGTGATCTGGATAGGTTAGCGGCGCTTGCCGGTAACAGCTCCATAACTAACGCGACGAAAACAATATCGTGTAGTAGGCGAGAAATATTTGACCAAGTAAGTGTATACATAACAGAGTGACCTTATCTTTAAGCCAAGTAGGGCTTTCTAATATCCAATCTTAACTTGTACCAATAATCACTAGCATTCTATAACAGTGAGGAAAATAGGCAGACAAGGAGACTTTTCCGTAATATGAATTTTTACAGCTTTATGGCCTGAATGTCGGGAGGGTGACTGATAGATTTAGTCATTTAGGCCGTGCTGTTTACGCATAGCCTGGGGTTCTAGCCTTGACTACATTGTAGGTACTCAGTAGACAACAAGCAGACCTTCTTTCTATTTATAGACTGACGAAACGAGGCGTATACGCCCTTTCTCCTCTCATTCTTTGCCACTTGATTTTCGATGAACTAAAGGAAACGCTACACTGCTTGTAGCCTTGGTATTTACGGTTTATTTCTTTGATATTTTCCTCCGGCGCCGCAAGTCAGTCGTGTTTGTCTCTGGTTTGGGTTTGTTCTCACCGTCCTTCGAGGTTACAGGCATTACATCGACGGCTGGGTCATCTTGTCCTTTAAAACCTGACTTCGAGATTTTGATAACTGAAATAAGCTGATATCATCTAAGAACAACGGCAGATACCAATAGTTCTAGGCGGTATTTGGCGTGAATTTTAATACTTTATCGGTGTGATAATATTGTATGCCTATTTTTGATTTAACCTACGATTCCGTTTTTCCTTAAATGTTTTCAACCCTGGGATTCAACAACAAAGATTGGTTGGAGTGAATTAAAGTCTAATATTGCTGTCTGTGCTTCCGTTTCAGCTTCCTCCAGGAGTATCTCTCGGGTTTGCGGGATTAAGCGAAGTATTTACCGAGATGACTAGCCTTTATCCATCACTGTGGTCTTGTCTCTTCTACCTACTTCTCTTTCTGCTCGCCTCCTCGAGCATGCTGGGAATGATAGAGATAGTTGTTACAACTTGCAAAGAAATGAAACTTTTTTCAAGAACTTGGAGAAACGAAGTGATTTGTGGTAAGCCCAATTGCACTGCACGATGTAAATGTTATTTTTAATACTTTAGATTGTATCCTGAGGGTGGGAGAGGGGGGAGCGGGGCATTAGGAATCAGCAGGGCACTGATGATGCGCGCCATTTATTTCGCTGCGACGGCTGGCAAATGTTGAAGTGGTTATTTATCACCTTGAAGCGGTAAACAGTAAGTTTTCGCTTTCAAGAAAAAATATTTTGTACATATGGAACCCGAAGAGTTTTCCTAACTTCTTATACAATAAAAGAGGATTTGTCAAAATTGCGCTCTGTTATTGATTTTACTAAGCAACATCAGATTATGATAAGCA